GGTGAGACCTTGCTGAAAGGTCTTGCGCTGGCTTGCCCAAGACATGCAAGGTCTTACCGAGTTTGAGTAGGAAAGCAGCTGCCACAAATGAAGGTCCTTTCCCCGGGGGGACAAGGAGAAATATTCGGGGGTTTGCTGGCAGTTATTTAGCAGAGCGTGGACCAACCACCTGCCTGTCAGCGTGAATAATATCTAACCTGAGGCAGCAAGGCGTGGGTTTTAATTTAATTTCTCTCCATTCCAGTCAGTGTCTTCAGGCCACAGGGAGATGCAGTTCCTGGCAGGCAGCTATCGCGCACGGCACAAGCCTTACACGCCTCCTGGGTTTCACATCTACGTCTTGGATTGCCCCACGCAAAGCACTCGGCTTGTCAAGCAAGAGAAAGTGAGGGGGAGCCTTAGTTAATTGCGAAATTCCGGTCAATTCTCCAACGGCGGTAGATGTCTGCACCTAGGCAGGTGGAGGATGCCTCTGGGGGAGGATTCAGCCCCAGACCCAAACAGCTCGATTTTCATTATTAGTAACGCGTCTTCCAGCGCCGTGCGGATGTCTCAGGCGCTGCTTCGCCTCCGGCGTCTCCACGTGGACAGTGGAAAGCGGCTCTAAATCCCCCCATTAATAACACCAGAGACCAGACATGTTGCTCACAGGACAGCTGAAAGGAGATGCCTGGAGCTGGAGGTGAACCTCACCCCTTCGGCAAAGGGTCAGCAAATAATTATGACTTTGGAGTTTGGATCTGTTTGTCAGGTGCCAGGCAGCACTCACTCCTGCTTTGCTCTCTGGTGTAACTCTGTCAAGAGATGATTAATGTTATCCAGGAAAAAAATCAATGTTTATTCATTCTATCTGTCGTAGAGTGTGATCCTAGGAGCTGCTGATTTCTCCCTGGCGAGCAGAGAGAAAGAACCTGAATTTATCTTTTAGCTCCAAGTTAGGCATCATGGCTGAAGCAAAGTGAGGTGAGACAAATCCTGGCTCTTATTCTGCACCGTCCTACGCAAGGGAAAATTACACTAAGGAAAGTCGCACTTTCCAGTGCTTTCATCTAGAAGACACCTTCCTGGGAAACAAGGATGTTTATTCCTCATGTACTCACACTGGACTGGGAGCGCTCAAAAGATGAGAAATAATTTCATTTTCCCAGCAGTTACTGTGAAAACCATGGACTTCCATGTGTAAATGGCTTGAGAGGACCTGTGAGAAAGCCCTGCAATCTATTCATGCTTTATTCTGGTATGTTATTGCCCTCCTTCCTTCCCTTAAAATATCCACGTGCTTCCAAGCGTGCTGCTGGTGGTTGGATGTGTTTGACTAAGGCTGGATGGGGAGACTGGCCTCGGGAACTTGAGGTTTTCCTCTCTCAAAGAGAATTTACCTTGCAGTGACTTAAAGTGGTGTAACCGATTGATAGGCAACAATCGACATTCTTAACATTATTGACAGGTTTGGGCCTATTAAGCATTTCCATCTGAAAGACATAAAGCAGCTGAGCTGCTTATATACTCAGTATGGTTGAAGACAATGACACATTTGCGCCTGGGTTTATTCTCCTGGGCTTCACGAACCGAGAAGACCTGCAGGTGATGTGCTTTGTCTTATTCCTTGCCATCTATGCGGTCACCCTAATAGGAAACCTGGTAGTATTTACATTAATCAGAATCAATTCGTGCCTACACACCCCCATGTACTTCTTCCTAAGCCACTTGTCTCTCCTGGACGTCTGCTACTCCTCTACCATCATCCCTCAAGCCCTGTGGAATTTTTTAGTGGAGAAGAAGGTTGTTTCCTTCGTCAGGTGCGCCACTCAGCTCTTCTCCTTTGCAACCTGTGCCACCACCGAGTGCTACATGCTGGCTGCCATGGCTTACGATCGCTACATGGCCATTTGTAACCCCCTGCTCTACTCTGTGGTCATGTCCCGGAGGCTTTGCGTTGGGATGTTGGCTGGTGCCTACTTAGCTGGTGTGATCAGCTCCACCATACACACGGTTTCCATATTTCGTCTCCCGTTCTGCCGATCCAAGAGGATCAATCACTTCTTCTGCGACGGACCACCCCTGCTGGCCCTCTCCTGCTCTGACGCCCATGCCAACGAGGCGGTGGTTTCTGCCGTGGTGGGGTTCAACATCCTGAGCACCACAGTGTTCATCCTGGTCTCCTACCTGTCGGTCCTCTCCACTGTCCTGCAGATCCGCTCCGCGGCCGGTCGGCACAAAGCCTTCTCCACCTGTGCCTCTCACTTTGTCTCTGTCGTTTTGTACTACGGCAGCGCCGTCTTCATATACCTGCACCCGGGCTCCGGGCGCTCCTTGGAGCATGACAAGGTGGTCTCCACGCTGTACTCCGTCGTAGTCCCCATGCTGAACCCGCTCATCTACAGCCTAAGAAACACGGACATGAAGAAGGCCATGAGGAAAGCAAAAGGTAGAGTCCTCTCCTCCTTGTCCACCCATGGCTCCTGGCCACCCTGCCGTGGTGAGAAGGGTTAGACGTCGCACCTTCAAGGAGGGACTAAACGCACCTGGAAGCAGGACACGGGGAAAACGCTTTTCTCCTTGAACCAAGGCTGCGGGCTGTGTGAGGAGGGATGGGACATTCTCCAGCTGCAGCCTGAGACCTGAGAGTGACCGTGTACGGGGCAGAAAGTTGTTATCCGAAGTAAATGTTACTGAAATACGACCTGAAATAACTATTACTTATAGTTTAAATATTACTAAAATGTAACAATCTACTTCATTTCAGGCTTCAGAGAGCCAAAGGGAGAACGCAGGTGGCGGCGTTGCCCTGCTGACACCAAACCAGCTAGTGTCTGACCGCTCACCTTTTATATTAACGAACGTCCTCCGGTGATGTTCCCGGTATTTGGAGGATGTTGATTGATTTTTCCAGGAGTTTTACTTCCAGAGACAAAGCGAGGTCACGTGAAACAACGCTGCGATGGGGCGTTGGTCATCAGAGCACTCACAGTAAACGGGGACAAGTCGTATTTGAGCCTCTGCTCTGCTGTGGCACGTAAAAAGCCAGAGCGCTGGCGGGAGGGAGGATTTTGGGTCTTCCTTTCCCCCCAACGGCCAAGGTGCTGGTGGCGTGGAGTCGCCTTACGATGGAGATGGAGCAAGTGCGACACCGAGCTGCCTGGGTCTGGGATTTCAAGCTGTGTTATTCACCCTGCAGACGCACACCCTACCCAAGCAGGTATCCTTCGTGGATTATTTTGCCTTCCACGTATTTTTTTGAAATAATCTTTAAAATCTCTCGGGTTTTTGCCCCCAGGTTGAATGAAGGTTGTTTTTCCCCCTCTGTTACGTTGCTTTTCCCACTTCACAAGCCTTGGTTTCAACCCAGTACCAAATGGGGAAGAAAGAAATCAAAAACCACAGGGAAATCCTTTTCTACCCATTTCCAGGACTAATAATCTGGTGCTTTCCAGCAGAAAACCAGATCTACACTGAAAACATCTAAAGCCATCTATACACTTCTCCACCTTGCTTCCCCACACTTCCATAGCTTGGTGTTCCCTTTCATCTGCCCCATCCTTTGTGCTTTCTAAATGTCTGGGACAAAGTGATCATTTCAATTTGTACTAAACATACGTATTTATAACGTCCGCTCATCTAAGCCGAAGCTTTCAGGAAACGCTGGCACTCAGGATTCATCCGAGTAAACCTGGCAAATCGGAGTTAATTCTGCTGTACCCTCAAAGCCGCTGCGTCAAACGGTGCTTTTGAGCAAACTGCGTCACCAGTAAAGCGTGTGGAAATAAAACTCTCTGCTGGAGAGGACTCCCCATGGCCGTGCCCAAACCATTCACACAGCAGATGCTCCGTCGGGTTTGTTCTCAGGATCCTTCAACGCAACGTTAGATGGTCCGTCAGCTTTCCCCGTCGGTAGCAAAGGGCTTCCCCGGTGAAACAGAGAAGTTTGTGATAGTTGGATAAATAAAAAGCAAACCGCCCTGGACTTGTCTTTCTGAAGGACCAGGCGGTGGCACGGGCAGCCTGGGTGGGTCTCCGCAAGAGAGCTGGTCCTGGTGCAGCCAGAAAGGTTTTGGGGGCGCAGGGGGAGGATCGAAAGGGGCTTTTGCTGAGCAGAACGGCCTAACGCTGAGCTGAGGAAGGTCCTGAGGGAGAGCGGCTCGCACAAAC